AGAGGTGAGAGAGAGAGAGAGAGAGAGAGAGAGCTAGCCTTCCCTAGAGGTGATGTCCTGAATTCAGACTTCTAGCCTCCCAACCGTGAAAGAAAAAATTTATATGTTAAAGCCATGCATTTGGGGTAGTTCTGGTATAACAGCCCTAGATAACCAGATAAAGCAGACGTATTTCTAACAATCACACATACAAGCAGACGTATTTATAACAATCACACACATACAAGCAGACGTATTTATAACAATCACACACATACAAGCAGACGTATTTATAACAATCACACACATACAAGAGTAGCTGCTGAAGCTACTTATACACACCCAGTACCTTATGCGATTTGCTTCCTTCGTTTGAAAGTGTGGGTCACGGTTTCATGGGACACACCAGTTAAACCAGTTAACTGACCTAACAAGGTGTGGAGGGAGGGCTTCTGTTCTAGCTCCAGGTTCACTGGGTAGTGGATGGGCTCTTAAAAAGTTTGCACATGGACAACCAAGGCACACTGGTCTCTTCACCCGGAGCAACAGAGGCGGGAGAGCCAAGAACGAGAGGACATGGAATGCATGGCCAACGGCCTCTGTCACAACTGCCTCTTTCACCTCCACAGTAGAACAGCTGCACATGTGGATCACAGATTCTATACGAAAGTCCTGACCTAAAGGGGGGACGTGCAGAACCGTATTTAAAATGATCATGATTCTAGTTTTCTGGAGCTACGGAGGGAGGATGAACCCGGCAAACTATCCACTCAGATCGTCTTTAAGCCTTAAAGCAAAGCAAAACTCGTGAAGCCATCTTACAGCAGAGTTTAGCTTAACTAGTGAGAAGGGTCTGTGCCTTGAGCGCTGTGCTTCTTTAAGAACACGTTCTATGGGGTCAATCGGACAAGAGCAAGGTGAAAGATGACAGGGGAGCCTTGGTGGGCCACGAGTCTACGTTAACGAGGGAGGAGGGACTCCAGACAAGAGACAGAGGACGGCTGCAGCACTTGAAGAATGTCCCGAGTGTCACCACCCTGGACCTGTGAGAACCACTTAAAGAAACAACCTGAGTGGAATCCTGGGATGCGAGACCGTCCCAGACGCGGCCATTCATCAGGGGTTCCAGGATGGCACCTGTCGGTGTGCTCACCGCCTACGCGCAGTTGGCCGTGAGGAAGGAGAGGACCGTCCAGGAGGCAGGTGGGCCCCCTGCAATCAGGTGGAAGAAGGCCCCAAAGGCCCAGCCTGTGGTGTCCAGATAAGCAGAAATTCTGCCTGAAGAAGGCCATGCCGGCCGTCGCCGAGGTCCCGTCTCCCAGCCTGCTTCACAGACCTTGCCACCTGCCCATTCCTTCGGCAGAGTGGGCCAATTCCTCAAAACCAGTGCATCTCTCGCATTCTCGGGACCTATCATACAGGTATAAACCAGACCAATGGCTGAAGAAGCCCGTCTGGCTCCTGGCGATCCCATGCGCTGCACCGGGAAGAGAGCCTGGTGATCTGTTCACAGTCCAGAGGTCGGATCACCAGCTTTTCCTTCTCAGACGCCTCTGGGTGGGCTGCAGCTGCCACCCATTGGGTTGGTGGCCAAGGCCTTAATCATGTGCACCACCAGGGACAGGGTCTGGCGCGCCTCCTGCTCCTCTGGAGAAATCCGAGGGGACAGTCCTCCGAAGAACGGACGCAGCGCATCCACTGGAGTTGACGATCCAGGTCCCGCTGGACTCAGCCTTCTCATGCCAACCAGCACCCAGCCGACACGGACACCTTGTGTGGTGGTCTCTGTGCTCCCGGAACGTGCACAGCAGCCCCCCACCCCCCACCCCCACTGACTTGCCCCCTCCATTGCCCTGCCTCCCTGAAGCATACATCACAACGTTTCCTTCTTTTGTGGACAGTGGCTTCTTCTCACAACAGTGACTCAAACTCATCGTCAGGATTGGCTACAGCGGTTCTCAACCTGTGGGCCGTGACCCCTTTGGGGGGAGTCAAACGACCCTTTCACAGGGGCCGCCCAATTCATATCAGTAGCAAAATGATAGTGATGAAGTAGCAACGAAAATAATTTTATGGTTGGGGGGTCACCACCACATGAGGAACTGTACGAAAGGGTCGCGACATCAGGAAGGTTGAGAACCACTGGACTAGAACCTGGCTACTGATGGCCAGGGTCCCTTCTCCTTCCCCATCCCCTTGGCTGTGGGCACCTCGGCATGCCCTTCCTGTCTCGGCATGGGGGCTCCTTCTGGAGGGCCTGGCTCCCTTGGATCCAAGCTCAGCTGGCCCCTGCTCATCTCCAGGTCTCCCATGTCAGCTCTTGAGAGAGCACGCCCTCGTACTCCCTCACACCTTCCCAGAGCAGTGGTGGGTGCCTGAGAAGGTCCCAGGGAGGGACTTCGATAGTCTGCCTGAATGCTAGAATGTGTCTTTTTGTTATGCTAGACTCTATTGTGTTCCATCTGATAACAGCAGTGCCAGGCTCAGCAGGAACTCTGCACATTTTTTTGTAGCTCAGATGCCACCTCCCTCAGCCTAGAGCCCTACCAGGTGAGGTGCTGGGCAGAGGCAAGGGCAGCACACAGTGGGGCCGCAGAAGCACAGTCAAAGACCTTATAGGCAGAGACAGACATGTCCTTTTGCAACGTCATGGGTGAAGCCAGCAGTCAACACATTTCGCTGCTAACCAAAGGCTGGTGGTTCGCGTCCACCCAGCGCCCCTCAAAAGGAAGGTCTGGCGACAGACAAAACTCACCGCCATCGAGTCCGTTCTGACTCGTGGGGCCCTGTGCACACGGAACGAAACACTGCCTGGTTCTGCACCAGGCCCGTGATCGGCCGAGGCTCCACCCCAAGGTCCAACATCCCCTACGTAGGCAGTCCAGTTCAGTGCAGTCCCTACGCGTTGTGGAGCATGCATCAACCTGGGCACTAGCCAGAGCATGTCTGTACTTCTCCAGCATTTCTGCACAGAAGTTCACTGTCTTCTCAACAGTCTCCTCGCCCTTCCTGCCAATTCTCCCCACCCATTCTGGTTTTTATATACTTTCTGTGGCAGTGGGTTTGGTTTAGGTTTGATGGTGGTTTGGCTTTATGTCAACTTGAACCTGCTGAAAGTGGAGGCGTGGAGGCCAACCTATCAGGCTGCCGTCTGAGGATGCCTCCTCGGGGTATGGCCTTTTCATGAGAGAGACAGCGAGAACAGACGCTTCTCTTTCTCCGGCCCTTCACGCTCATCCTTGCTGAGCTTCTGTGTCTGCCTCCCAGGGCAGTCTCATGTGGCCCACTGACCCTGAGAGCCAGCCTCTGAGCTGCCGCCGTCCTGTTTTGTTCTCTGTTCCCAGCGACCTTGGATGCACGTGGCTCTGCACCCACTGGCCTGTGACCCCTGGGCTTCCTGCATCACACCTTTGGCTATGAGTCTGAAGAGGGTTCTGGCTGCATTGATCAGGCCCGTGTTCCGTGTGCACAGGGCCCCAGGAGTCAGATGAGTTGTACTCGACTGGGAAGCTTTGTTGGTACAAAATTATATCTTGATCTGAAGTTCTTTCTTAGACATAAATGAAGGTAACCAGCTTTGTTTCTCCAGACAATACACTGTCTTATCCTTGATATTTCACATCAATCCACCATTTGCATTGAAGTGTTGTCAAAGTGACATTCCAGCCCTTTCAAGCCTTTCGAACCATGAGGCCTACACTGGTCAATGCCTTTTTCTTACGGCTGCAGTTGGCACTCCTCTGTGGCAAACTTGCCCACAGAGAATACCAGTGGGCGGTATTCACAAAAGTCAGACAGTCCAGCCTCATCTTTCTCCCTTGGAACGGCTGCTGGGATCAAACTGCTGACTCCTGGTTCGCAGTCAGGCGCGTTCACCAGGGCTCCTGGAGATGAACAACAAACTCGCAGCCATCCAGTTGATTCTGGTTCACAGAGACCCTGTGGGACAGAGCACGACGGCCCCGGTGGGTTTCTGAGGCCGTAAATCTTCGCAGAAGCTGAAAGTCTCATTTTTCTCCCTCAGAGCAGCTGGTGGGTTTGAACTGCTGACCTTGCTGTTGGCAATTCAATACTGAACCCAGTACACCACCAGAGGTTCTGAGGGGGCTAATGAACAAAACCAAACTCAAAACTCACTGCCTTCGAGTTGATTCCGACTCGCTGTGACCCTACAGGGCAGGGCCAAACTGCCCTCTGTGAGTGTCCCAGATGCTAACGCTTCATGTGAGTAGGGCGCTCTGTCTTTCTCTCGCGGAGTGGCTGGTGGTTTTGAACATACGACCTTGCAGTTAGCAGCCCAATGCGTAACCACGACACCACCAGGGCCCCTGAAGATATTGGTAACATCTATTAAATATGTGAGTGCATTTACTAGCTCAACAGAAAACAAGCGTCAGGGGTAAGGTAAGCAAATGTCAGCTCTTACTGCTGGTTCCACGCCCACCTGGCAGGCACCAAAGTGAACATCAGTGTCGGGGCAGGTTTTGTTTATGAGGAGTTTTAATGCCAGTCCCACGGCATGGGGCTGTGCCTTCAAATAAAGCAGCGTTTACAGGAGAGTTTGCGAGAGTGGACCACACGGGCATGTCTGTCTGTTCACCAGAAGTGTGGCCGTCCGCGTCCACCCAGAGGAACCTCAGAAGCAAAGCCTGATGACCGCCTTCCAAAACTCAGCCCCTGGAAACCCGCAGCACTACTCTGATCGAGCGGAAGGAAACAGGAAAAAACATGGTGAGAGCGTATGAACGACTGCACTAGGTTTCAAAACGTCTTTGGAGTTGCCACCGGAAGAAGCGAGGCATTCAGAGACCATGGAAGAAGATGACTCCCCAGGGCCAGCGGGGTGGGGAGCGGGGGTGTCCCACTTGGGCAGCTGGTCCGATGCTGGTCACGGCAACACCCGGCATCGCCAGCAGGCCAAGCAGCAGAAGGGAGGCAGTCCTGAGAGGCGGAGATGCTGATTTCAGGGGCGCCGATGCTGATTTCAGGGGCGCCAGGCTGGGAGGGGACTGGGGACTTACTGTTAGATGCTCGCATCTGGCGCCGACGGCCCACTCGATCCAGCCCGATGGGGGTGCTCTGGGAAAAGGTGAAGGGTCGGAACCGGGCCGACACGGCTTTGTACGGTGGCACCTGGTGAGCTGGCACCGGAGGCCGGGTGGCGGGCTGCAAAAGGAAATCAAAGAGCTGTGAGGGGCTGCCAGGAAGTCGCAGTTCCTGCCGGCAGATCACACACTCCCAGCTGCGAGGTGCAGGGTGCTTGCCACAGAGCTGCCTGCAGCTGCTAGGGGTGCCTCCCTCCCAAAGGGGCAAATGTTTCACACGGGTGGTGTGAGCCCCTGGGCCTCCCCGTCACCAGGCTTGTGGACTCTGGAGCCCAAGGGACAAGCACTGGATCTCAGCACAGGAAGTGGTGGCGTCCCCACACAGGTGGAGGGTCTGAGGATGAGGAAGGCCAGGCATCCCACCAACAGCCAGGTGGTCAGACAGTGGCCTCTTGCTCACCTCCCCCTTCCCAGCCCTCCTCCCAGCTGCATACACTTGGGGGAAGTTGACAGAACTCTATGGAACTGAAGGGAGTTGTTTTGCCAAATCCCCACACGACAACCCAGCGTTCTTTTAAAGAAGCGTTGGTCTGCCTATCAAAGTAGCCTGGCCTCCTCGGACCGACTCGAGGACCTTTCGATTCTCCAGATTAGCCCTGCCCACGACCGTCTGTCAAGGGCCACATCCGTTCATGCGTTTTCTTTCCACGAGGGGGCTTTGAAATGTTTGTGAGACATTTCCATGATCTTTCTGTACACTCCCCCTTCCACCACCCCCAACCCCAGCGTTCGGAAGCTGACCCATCCGCTCGATGCGTGACGCTACGTCGCAGAAACTTATTTTCCGATACTCTTCTCTGGTGCCTTGATGGGGAATACTACCACAGGCGCTTGGGGTGGCTTTCCTATGCTCTGCTTCAAGCTGGTTAGTGCTCAGCGTAGCTCAGAACTATTTCCCACCTAGCAACACGGGACATCTTAAACCACGCAAAATCCCCGAGAGGTTGCCTGGGTTTCCCCAACTTAATTTGTTTCCACATTACGAATTCCATTCAACCCCGTTCAGGGAAGGAGTGGTTTCTGACTGCAGGCTATCGACTGGGCGGGCCTTGCGTTGAGGTTGATGGGTGGGGGGTATGCACACGTGCATACTCTAGTACTGAGGCTGATACGGAATTTCCTTGTTCAGAGAATTCCAGGAGCGATCTATTATATGAGGTAACTGGACACTTCATGGCTGTCGACGTTTGTGTGAAAACTTTAACCACAGCCTGGGGACCGACCTCACCAGATCCGTACAGACTTCGCACCAACATTCATGACACGTCTTGTAGCCTCACGTCATTCGCTGGCTACTGACTGAATTCATGAAAACATGCTATTGGGCCCCAAACTCACGGTCAAGGATTCCAACCCCTAATGGCCCTAGGAGGCAGGGTAGAACTGTCTGCTGGGGTTTCTGAGACTGTAAATCTTTACGGGAGCAGCCAGCCTCCTCTTTCTGCCTGGGAGCGACTGGCAGGTTAGAACTGCTGACCGCTCCCCTTACTAGCTCGGTGCAGTGTTTGCTATACCACCAGGGAGCCTTCATGGAGCCAATAAGTAAGATTTTAATCTACTTAAGATTTTAATTTACTTCATCTGTTGCTGAAAAGATGTAAAACATAAAGATGAAGATGATAAAACAAATAAAATTAGATCCTATCGCCTGAAGGGGTGTGTGTGTGTCAAATCGATTCCTTCCTCAGCTCCTCTCTCTCTGGGCTTTACCCATGGTGGCACATCCTCCCTCAAGGGTTTCTTGTTCCGAGGCAGCTCGCGCCGTATGCTCCATCTGTCTTGTGAGAAGCTCAGAAACAAATCACTGCCATCTAGTCGGTTCCAACTCCCGGGGACCCTCAAGGGAGTCTCTGAGGCTGTCCGTCTTCACGGGAGGAGACAGTCTCGTCTTTCCCCCATGGAGCGGCTGGAGGTTTGAACTGCTGACCTTGCGGTTAGTAAAAACCCACAGCAGACTAGTTTCCCGCCATAAAAGGAGCGAGAGGTTAGTAGTGCTCGGGTTAGTGGAAGGTGGGGGGTTAGCTGGAGCCCGCAGCGTCACGCAGTCAGGAAGGACAGGTGGAGAGCGTGGACAGACGGACGCAGGAAGGCAGAAGCGGAGGAGGGCGCAGCCCCCAGAACGGGCCCCAGCCCCAGGCAGAAGCAGCAGGCCTTACTTGGGTGAGCAGACTGTCCACTTCCGCCGCCGGGGTGCTCCCATAGAAGCTGACACCGCCGATCACCGACATGGGCCGGCGCCTTCGAGCCCCTTTTGGGCAGCCGACGGGAGCCAGGCCTGGCGTGGGCTGGCTGTCCACAAGGTCCATTTCCTGGGTGTCTACGGCCACGGAGTCTTCAGGGATGGACAGGCTCCGGCCTACTGACTGGCCATAGTCCGAGAGGGGCCTGGGCAAGGGTCTGGACCTCTTGCCAGAACTCCACCTCCTCCTGGGGACCCTCAGGGCCTCTGTTCGCTCTTCGTCCTGTGCCGAGGCTGAGGCCCTCCGCCGGGGATCGTCAGCAAGCACCTTTTCAAAGGTGAACAAGGCAGGTGAGCTCAGGTATCCAGGAAGGTATTAAACCAACGCAAACTGCGTCCCTCCCACCTTCTCGGCCCTTCCCCAAGGATTCGCGGTTCGCTGGCCTGTTTTGTCTGAGTTTTTTTGAGGTTATTTCTATAGAAAGTCGATTCCCATTACCAAACCCTATAGGGCAGAGTGGAACTGCCCCTGTGGGTTTCTGAAGCTGTAACTCTATGGGAGCAGACAGCCTCATCTTTCCCCCCCAGAGGGAGGGGTGGGCTCAAACCCTGAGCGGGAGGTTAGCAGCCCAACACGTAACCTGCTGTACCACAAACACAACGGAAACAGGGATAACATAGGCAGATCCAACTTTCTTCTGACACGAATTAGACACGGATTTGAAGCTGCGACAAGAACACCCCCCACCCCCCCAATCAAACTCACTGCCTTCCAGTCACTTCCGACTCTGGGGACCCTCCCGGGCAGAGCCAACCGCTCTGTGGGGTTTCCGAGACTGTCGGTCCTCGCCTGAACGGTGGTTCCCTTGAGGTCAGGCTGGCGGGGTCGAATCGGCGGCCCACAGTGCATGGTGACCAGAGACTACGGAAACGATTACTACTGTTACCTCCAGGAGCCGTGGCAGGCAGCTCCCCAAATCTCTGTAACAAAAGCCAGGGTCCAGCGCGCCAGCCAGTAGGAGGCCGGAATGTGTAAGGCTATCCCTGCTGGGATTCTGACATTTTCCTTCAATAATGTGAACGACTTAAAAATAGAAGGTGCTGTGAGAAGATTAGGCTGGGCGCTGCTAGGAAAACCGTGCGGGGGACTGTGGGGCCCCAGGGCATGGGGTGATGGATGGTGGGGAGGTGGGGGTGGCTCAAGGGCTGAGGTCAGGTGAGCTGTGTGGCTGTGGGCAAGTCACAGGCAACCTTTCCTGACCTCTGCATCCC